TCTACAACTTTTATTTGAAACTTTTTTTGATATTTTTAACATATAATCCAAAAATCGTATTTTGGGGTAGTTTTTAATTTTTTTCACCCCTTTCCCGGTGGTTGAGAACTTTTCTACTTTGCCCACAGTTTTGTACGCATTTTTCTGATAATTTCCATATTTTTTCTGCCGTATAGCTCAAAAACCCGATTTCAGGGCTATTTTGACTGGATTATAGTATCGAAATAATATGAGTCCATGCTTCGTAGTATGCAGAAGCACACAAACACACACATATGCAAAGCTTAGTAGCCAAGAGTGGGAACTACGAAGCAAAGCCGAGAATAGGAAAAACTGTATAGCTATATTCTGTCTCATTCTCTCGCAGGCTCAATCCTATATGTTTGTATCTCTTTCTCTTTTACTTAGTATTAAGATTACATCGCCTATTTCCTTTCTCCACTACATCCCGGTTTCGTTTTCCTACTTTATTCATAGAGATAATACAGATAGAGGAGACAAACCATAGGCAGCTGTGTAAGTGGAAATACCTCTGCATAAACTATAGCAAAGGTTGATGTTGTCTCTCTCTAACTCATGCGGTACCGGTGCATGTGCATTAGACTTGTCGTGCCACCTCTACTAGCAGATTAATGCGCATGCACCGCTCAGCGCAAGTTAGAGGAGACAACGTCGATCTCTCATGTTTTATCTCTTTTTTTTCGCTGACGGGTTTTATGCTGGCTTGTCTCCTCTATCTGTATTATCTCTATGACTTCATCGCCCGGTTTCGTTTTCCCACTACATCGCCCGGTTTCATTTTCCAACTATATCGCCGGTTTTATTTCCCCACTACATCACCGCTTTCATTTTTTCAAATCACACCCATTCTAAAAAAGTTTTCACTTTAAAAAATAATCGAAAAGAGAAATGTTACTGACATTGTATTCAAATTTTTTACATTTCTTTGGTTTGTCTCAATATACGAGTCTAAGATTATTTCATCCTCCCTCTGTGCTTTAAACAACAAACTGAAAATTATATTCTACATTGACAAAAATCTCTGGTATTACTAAAAAGTGGCAATTTTTACAATGTTCTACCTGATTCGGCATTGCTTATGTGTTGCCCAAAAATTCTTAACAATTCCCGCATTCTAAACAATACACGAACTCTCTACATCGGCTGTAGAATATTTAATTTAATATATATTTCTAAAGTAATTCATTATTTTTATTTTTGCCTATTGAGTTATAGGGGATATTAAAAATACTCTTTTTCTCACACCTGGATCGAAAGTTCGTTTTTGCTCCTTGTTTTCAGGGAGCAAAGTGCCACATTCCCGCCCGCTTGAATCTGTTTCAGGGAGAAAAGTGCCACATTCCCTCCCGCTTGAAGTAGTAACAAATTAGTGCGCATGTTTCAATTTTTTAGCGCATGCGTACTAGTTTCTTAACCTTAAAATGTTTCAATTACTGCGCATACTTATATATATTATATATTATGATATATAATTAATGATTTTAATGATAACATGTGTTGTCTCATAAATTTTATATTTTCTTTACTTTTAAAAGTTCTAAAGATATTTGTTTAGTTAAATATTACAAACATAAATAGGTTACTACGTATAAATTTAATTATTTTCTTGATTATGAGAGTTGTATTTGTTATTATTTATTATAATCTGTTTAACCTCACAATTCTTGAAAGTGACAAAAGGTGTATTAAAGGTCAAAGAATCAATCATTTCGTTCTCGATTTGAATTTCATTTAAATGCTTTTTTTTGGACTCACACAGACTTACACACACAACCTTTTCGATTTTCAACACTCCCCACAATAATAATAATTTATAAACTCCCTATTTAATTAATTAAATTTTATTTAAAAAAATATTTTTTAAACTTATACAATAATTTATATTTTTAATAGAATCTAATTTTATATTTTATTTTATTTTTATATTTAAATTTTTTTAAAGTGGGGGGCTCCGCCCCCTCAACCCCCGCCGGGGCTGTGCCCCCGGACCCCCCTGATTTTTTTTCTGGGGGCTTCGCCACCAGGCCCCCACTAGGGGTTTCACCCCTGGACCCCTTGCTTGTTGTTAAATTTGCATAATCTTCGCAAAATGTATTAATTGACAACAAATAAAATAGTATATTACATACCTAGGACAGTATAGTAAGAAAGCGGCAACTTCGTTTTACACAGCGGGAAGAGAGGAAGACGGAAAGCGGCAACTTCGTTTCTTACAGGTGCAGCGGGAGAAAAGTAGGGACTTTTCGCCCGGGAAGAAAATTAATATATTATTATTTAATTACAAGCGAACTTTCGATACCGGTGTGAGAAAAAAATGTATACTTTTCTCCCTAGGTGAGTAATATACTATTCTTATAACACAATTTTCCTTTTATTTTATATGATAAGGTGGAAGCACGTGTTTACTCAATCAGAAGCAGTGAAGCCAGATCGAGGAACATTTCTACCCCTTCTCTCAAGTCCAGCACGCTTCGCACACAACAAAATTTACGTGTCGGTGTGTCGGAAAACCGAAAGAAGCCGAGGGAAGCCGAGGTAGCTGCGCGACAGAGGAAAAATAATACCCCCACCACGCGCCGCGGAAAAATACATTGACACAAACACATTTGAACAATGTGTAAAACAATGGTTTGTATAATAAACGCAGAATAAAGAATACTGCATAGAATTCAACATTGCCCACACATACCTAATATGACTTTAGAAATCAAATTGTATAACTCTGATATATGTTTCGTCTTATAAATGTTTCTGAGTAGTGCAAATGTGTGGTATATTAATGTAATTTACTTATCTTCTTTCTGGACGCTACACCTTATATAATTAAATGCAAATCGTATAAATAAATATGAAAATGTTACTGACATCATGTTTATTTACCGTCACAAGATAATTATTTACAAATACATTATAACGCTTATCGGTAATTATCTACGATAATTTTATTCATTTATCACTCCGACGATCCAACGATCAGAATATGTTACCTATTTTATCGTTGTAATATAAAATTTTTTATTGAGAAGACACAGTGCGTATTGAATAAAGTAAGTGTTTTTTAATAATTTTTTTCTATTTAATTATTATCTTTTTTTTATATTAAACAAATAAGGAATTTCATTCATTGTTTCAATTCAATTATAGTATTTATATTCCTTATAAATTACATTACTGTAATAAACTTCGATGTGAGAATTATATCTCATATATCTTATATAATCTTATATATATACATATATATTAACCAAAATTTTGACTCTATCCTACTCATCATTTAAATATTTCATAATTTTTATTAATTCATAATTTATTAATCTTTAAAAAATAATTAAAGCCGATTAAAAAATAATAATCTTCAATTAATGGAAATAATTAGGTTATTTTTACATCATTCGAAAAATTTTATGTAGTCAGGTTTGATTTCACACATTATCAGCTCGAGATAAAAAAGTTAAGATAAAATAATTGTCATTTCCGTTCCTCATTTTATACTGATGAGCTATTTTACAAAGAGGCGGATAAAATTGAGTAGACGCCCCAAACAACAAAAATTATGGAATTCTCAAACTACAGTTAGAAAAAATGTTTCAAAAAACTCTCATTACGATATTAACAAAATAGAGAAATTGAAAAATTCATATCACAACACATTAACTGAATTTTTTAGAAAAACGTAATTTTCTACGGCCTATTATAAAAGGAAATTTGAAAACCTCGAGATCGTGTCAAGGCTCTTTAATATTCCAAAGTGATACACAACCGCTTAATACGCTACTGTGCATTTTTAACAAGTTTAGCATTGATAATATAGAACTTATTTGATAATATCACTGGAATCACTGATAATTTAAAAAATCACTGATATTTTATAAAATACTTTTTCTTATTAAAAACAATCATTTAATAATTTTATAATGATTAAATAATGTTGCCTTGTTAGATAATTTTTTAATTATTGACATTAAATACTTATTCATAAATACAGTCTACTGACTATGCTCTTGTTGCATATTACGAAAACGACATCTCTCAGTTCTTTAGCGACTGACTTAACAGACAGATCTATAGAGTCATTCATAAACGTTGTGTATTTAATGTGAAAAGTCATTTTTTACAATTGTGATAGCATTTTAAACGTATTACTTGAATTGCAATTTCAATATCTTATTTTCATCCATTAAATCAATAAATGATATATGATATGTATATCTAATCTTATTGAACATCTGTTCAGTGAGATAATTATATTCTTTGATTGGGTTGTACCATTGTACTTATTCATTTTTCGTGCGTCATCTTTGAACACGATTACATAAATAATTATAGAAGTTTGATTTATTAATATTTCTTATTTAACAGACGTAATGTTTTTCACTATCTTCTTGGGACTAGTTTCATTTTTATTTTTATTACACTGCTCTATAAAATACCGAAGAGTAACAAGAATTCTTGAAGCACTTCCGGGACCAAAAGCATATCCAATCATAGGAAATTTGCTTCAACTTCAAACAAAACCTGGTAAATTTTAACAAAAGTAAATATTTTGTCTAGAAAATATATTTGTTCTATTATAATTCCACCTATACGACGTAATATAATTCTCATTTACCATTGATATTTTTGCCATACTTTAGATAAACTTTTCGAAGTATTATGTAAAACGGACGCGGAATATTATCCAATCTATAAATTATGGACCTTTTTTATCTCAACGGTAGTTTTACTTCATCCGGAAGACATCGAGGTAAAATTGTTTTCCAAGTTATAAATTAAAATTTTACATTTACTTTTATAACTCTTTTAGCCATCTAACTTAACGATTGATAGTAATTAAAATTATTCCTTCTTTATGATCTAATATAATTTGTAATAATTTTTTAAGTCAATACTAACTATACTATTATCGGAAACCAATTGTCGAAAATATAACAATCATTCAAAATTAATAATTTACAAACTTACATTAAATTGTCATTAAGTTTAGTCATAATTGTTAAAAAAAACCATATTTTATAAAAAAAGAATGTGGATATATATTTATACAAATATATTTTAACTAAAGGTGCTTATGAAGAGTCACAAGCACATAACAAAAAGTATCGCTTACAAATTAATAAGGCCATGGCTATCGACCGGATTGGTAACAAGTACAGGTAAACAATTTTTTAAAATCTTGATTTTATAAATATATAATATTATATTTCAAGTTAAATTTAACTCGACAGGAGCAAAATGGCAGCATCGAAGAAAAATTTTAACTCCCGCTTTTCACTTTACTATCCTCAAACACTTTATAGTCACTTTAAATGATGAGGCGCGGTACCTTGTATCATCAGTGAAAGAACAAGGAAAGGGAACTCCAATTATTAAGAATCTAGAGGAACTACTGACCGAGCATACGTTAAATGCGATATGTGGTAAATTAAAGAATATTTCTTTACGTTATAATAATCATAAAAAATATAATTATTAACAAAAAGAATATTTACAGAAACTGCTATGGGCACATCTTTACAGGGGAATGGCGAACTTGAGTTTAAATATCGCAAAGCCGTTCATGCTATGCTCGGTATTGTTCCATTCAGGTAATTATTTATGATTTAGTTAAAGATAAATTTTATGAAGAAACTATGCTAAAAAGAATAAAAAAACATGCTATCATTTATTAGGAGTGTAAGACCTTGGTATTTATTGGACCCCATATTTGCATTATCACCAAAAGGACGATTACAAGAGGAACTATTACAAACGTTGCACGGTTTTACGAATAAAGTATGTATAGTATATTCCTAACCTGCGTTCTAAAAAAAGTCATATCAATTTCAAAAATTATTATTGTTATTTTAGATAATTGCAGAAAGAAAAAGTTTTCACGAAGAAACTAATGGAAAATATTTAAAAAATTTGGAAGAAATTGAAGAAAATATCGACGGATACGGCAAAAATTACAAAAGTATTTTAATTGCTTTAGAATGATAATTCATATTCGCAATAGAAATATAAATCGAATGTTTTTATCATAGATCCGATGCACAAGAAAAAACTTGCCATGTTAGATTTACTAATAGCAGCTTCTTGGAATGGAAATCAAATCGATGATGAAGGAATCAGAGAGGAAGTGGATACATTTATGTTTGCAGTAAGCTTCAGTATATTTATTTTTTTCTAATATTAAGATGAAATGAAAATAATTTAGAAAAAAAATCTCCGTAGGGTCACG